TAAAACAAGGATTATTATTGCTCTAGGTTAAACCCTTCATTAGCTGAGAGGCAATCTATAAATATATTTTAAAGACTGTGAGGTGCTTAGAAACCACACTTATAGTGGAGGGCGTGTAAGTATTCAAGATAGATACATAGAGAAACTGATGAGAGTGAGAGAAACTGGCTTAAAGTCTTATCTTTGAGTGGTTTACAGAATTTTAGCCAGATCTGACTTGATTTAGCAAAACTGTTGTACATTCTCTTAGCTAGGCATGCTTTAAAAACTTAAAGAAATTCATACATAACACATGACCAAGAATAAAGGAAAATAAATTTAACATAGCAGATCAACAATTTACAAAACAAACACTTTAAGTAATCATATACTGATCACATATTATATAAAATATTCACACTACTTCAAAACTGAAAGGTTATGGAAATGAAATCCAAAATAACAGCTCTCTCTGTAGCGTATTTGAGCCTGGCGTCACTGAAATCACTACACACTTTGCCACATATTTCACTCCAGGATTTACCCTAGGACATCAAAGCTCAGACATACCCGATTGTAAATTTCTTCACTGACAGCTGGCTGTTTTTTGTTTGACCTCTTCACATCAAGAAACTCCACCAGGGGACGAATTGTTATCCCCTGTCCAGAAAAACAAAGCAAAAACAAACAACAGACATTTCCTTGCTTGCCCAGAGCCATAAAAAAAGAAAAATATTTCAGTTAATTTCTTTCAGTCACTCAAAGTTGTAAAACTGATTCTGGGTGCACCCTCTTTCTTTCCAAGAGACAAGCATAAATGTATAAATATAGTAAAAATGCATTTACCCCTGTGGTTAGCAGGCAGTGCATTTAGTTAGCCATGTGCTACACAGAATGCAGTCCCACTAACATGAGTGGAAATAAAGGGACTCTCCAGAACTAAAGAGACAACAGATGACTATAAGAAAAAAAATCTATTAATTTTTCTTATGGACTTAATAATAAAAAACTTTGAAAAAGTGGCTTCAAGAGCAATGGCATGCTACTGACAGGGCTTGTCAAGTTAATAATTGTTTAATAAAACCAGAAATAAATCTTCCTTCATTTAAAACAAATATGTTAAGTTATTGTTTTAGAACTTGAAGCTCAGGGCTGACCGAATAATACGTTTAAAGTTAATCCTCAAGAACAGGCAAAAACTGGAATTTTTATTTAATATTGTGTGCTGATTGGTTATGACCAAGGAAGACAGAAACTTCTGGCTAGTCCAATGTGATTTGCTGTGATTTTAAAAAAAATCTGAGAAAAAAAGAGTTTTTTTTTCATTTTAGTAGAAAACCAGCAACATAATACTCCAAGGGATCTCCCAAGTGACTGAGTTCTTATGAGTTCAGTCCCCCTCACCCCCACAACTCCTATTGGAAAGCTGCTGCAGAATCTCACTGAAACCTTCTTCTAATTTCCAGCCAATATTTATTCATGACCACTGCATATACCAATTTATTTTTTATGTCAGCATGGCCCATTAGCCCATCCCTGCTGTTTACATCATTTCCTTTTCAGTGTGTTTTAGCCAGAAGTCTCCTCTGTCTGCCTTCATTTTTCATACCTAAACAAGCCAAGATATTTTAGTCTCCTTCATTATGATAGGCTCTACGTTTCCACAAACACCCTAGAACAAGAGCCCTAACACTTCCTCTTCTCTATTGGAAATAGCTCACTTGACACATCCTAAAATTGCATTTGCCTTCTTTAAACCCTCATTACATGGGTGGCTCAGTCATCATCATGCTATCAGCTAAAATGTCCAGGTCTTTCTCCTCCAACTGATAAGCCCTTAGTTTACAGCATAAATTCTTATAACTAATCCCCAAGCATACGACTGCATTTTGACCTATTGCATTTCATTCTATTGCCATTACTTTTGTCTCCAAAGTCATCCAGTTTTTCCTGTATACTTCCAATTATGTGTCATATGAAAATTCAGTCAACCAAGCCATACTTTCTGTGTCAATGTAATAAATGAAAACATTAAACAAGATTCGTCTCAAAACCAATCCTTGTGCAACTGCGGTATTAACATGCCTCAAACCTACTAGCCTTCCTTTTGAGCACTCCCCACTGCCACCAACACTGGGGGTACTAAAATACATGTTCCCTATTTGAATTAATAAGCACCCATATCAAATGCTTTACTGAAGGGCAGATACATTATTTTTACTGCATCTTCCTTATTTAGAAACTAATCTCTTTCATCAATAAAAAATAGATAATTAATTAGTCTGGCATAATAAAAAGCTTTGCTAAACCCATGTTACAATTCATCCTGTATTCTTTCTAACTCCTGGACTTTAACAATTTTTTCATTCAAAATTCCTTCCAAGGTTTCAATACTGCTGAGGTCAGAATAACAGGCCTACAGTTGCTTAAATCTCTTTATTTCAACCTTCTTAAATATAAGAACAACATTTGCAATTCTCCAACTATATGACTGCCCTCTAACTCCAACTTCCTAAAGTACTTCCTGTTGCACTGGAAAGTCCGTGTTCCTTAGTTCTTTCAGAATTTGGGGGTGCTGATTATCTAGGCCCTCACTTGATTGCATTACATCTTTGACTTTTGCTTCTCCCTCAACTATGGTAATTTCCATTTATATGCCCTGTCATTTGCTCCCATGTTCAGTATCACCATATCAATTAAAAACTGAGGTAAAGTAGTCTTTTAGTTTTGGACCATGCCTAGATTATCTTTAATCTCTACCCCATCTTCACTGCCACTTAAATACTTAATGCTCCTTACATATTACCATAAGTAGCTAAGAGCTGGCTACTGACTACACAGCGTTTTTGTGCGAGATAAGACGACAAAGTCAGTGGTACCCTTTGAAAATGGTTCACTCAGGAAGATGAAAAATTATTTTTCTCTTTCCGACTGCTTATTCACAAACTATCAGTAAGATAAAGCCTACCAGTAGGAGAGGTCTCACCTGAATGAAAACTGTAAAGAATATCACCACAATAACAGAAGTGATGAACAATTTCTTTCTAGGAAACACAGCAGCAGGGAGCAGAAATACAAGAGAAAAACAGATGGCTCCTCGGAGACCTCCATAAGCAATGATAAACTGGTCCTTGAATGTTAGGGGAATTGTCCGGAACATGTTAATAATCTGAGTCAAAACAAAAACACCTGAGAAAAAGATGAAGACATGGTAAAAAGCAAAAATAAAGCAATATAGAAATCCTCCTCAGTGTTGATGTTTATTTAAAATCACGCATTTTAAAATTATTTCTTAAGGGAAGGAAACTTCTTTTTACCAAAGTAAGAAATTTTAGTTTAAAGCAATTGATAACAATTTTCAAAAGTAGCTCCAAGAATCTGGGCCTTAGGTATTTCAGAAAACTGCCTGTAATGGGAGTTAGGTGCCAAAATAACTTTACGGCTCTTATATGCCTAAAGAACTTTCAAAAATCCCACTAGAAACGTATTTACACCCACAGACACACGTTTGTATAAAGAACAACATGTCTCAATACTTTAAAAAACAGAACTTTAGATGCTTTTTCAAAATTTTACCCAGGCTCAGATCCTGCAAACATACATTTACTTCTACTTACATGAGTAAACTCATTGAAGTCAACAGGAAATGCATGTTATTAAAGATTAGCATGTGCATGAAACTGGTGTAGGGCTGGGGCCTACAGCAGTCCTGTGTATTGAAAGGAGGTTGTACCACCAGCACAGAAGCCAAGAATATTCTTGAAAGGATTTGTTTCCACTCAACACACAGTATACAAACCCTACTTTTCTAAAAAGCCCAAGAAATTCATAACACAGGAAACGAACATTTACTTACAATACTCTTAACAACATTTATGACAATGACTAACAAATAAACATTAAAAGTGGATATGTTTTATGCTGCAGAAGTGTTAATTATTTTGGCAGATTCTTTCACTTCTGTTGTTTCTGTTTAAACATAGCTGTACTTTCAGCTAAAGTGGTTATGACAAATATGTAATTTTATTTTCCCTGCAGTTATAAAAATGTAGAGGCTCACACTAACTTCATGGGAGCAGGATAAAGATCAAAGAAAACTTTGGGACTGATGTTAATAAAAGCAGACTAAATTCTTTGAAATCATGGATACCTAAATGTAAAGAGACCATTGTGCAAGTGACTAATTCAGCTTCATTAAAATCCATTAAAGCTTTGATCTGAAGTCACATGCCAATTGTAGAGTAAGATGTTATTATAGTCTCCAATATAAAGACAAGAGCGATTCACCATTTAATCTTCAAACACAGATTCACTATTTCTTTTTTAAAGTGCCCATTCCCCAAAAGATTTGTGTTTTACTTGAGCAAGTATGAATCTCAGACTCTCTCACCCAGCGCACGCCAGATCAAACAGAAGAGAAGAGTAAAGCAGACAAAGGCCCAGTTCCATTCATGGTTTTTTCCAACAGTAGACACTCCCATGAATATAAAGATCAGGGTCTCACTGACACTGCTCAGCATCTTCATGAAATACTTTATGGTTGTAAAGGACTTCTGGGAAACATTCTCCTCCACATATTTATTCATGGTCATGGCACAAGCTGTTATCCTGCAAGGCAAAC